ATGTAACATGGTTAATATTTTTTAGGTGGTTTGAACCTTTTGTTATGCAGTGGCTAGATGAAAATGAAGATGTGTCAATGGAATTCCTTCATGGAGCACTGGGAAGAGATAAAAAAGATGGAGTGAGTTTAAATTACTTTACGTTTGCTTATTGCTATAATTCCATCACATTGCTCACCTTAAGCTTAAGCTTAAGCTGACAGGAATTGTTAGGCTCATTGTTATTAGTTGAGTTTCGTTTTAATACTCCAATGGATAAGATAATTTTAAAACAATTTCGAAAGACTGGTCAGAATTCTAGGAAATTGCTTGAATTAAAAACAAAGGAACAAAAAACTCCCATCACCTTTATTCCTTCTCCCCCACACCCAACCAACACCGCAAGATTCTTCTTTTCTTCTGAAACAGCTCAGACTTTACAAGTTCCCCAAGCTTGTACTTAACTTCCTTGTCATCCTGGAAGCATTTCAGGATTTGTAGATTAGAAACACATGTCCTCCCATTCCTCTGCAACAATTCTCAAATGTCCTGAGTGACAACCAGCTCACAAAACTATTCTAATGGCCCTTGAGAGGGAAATATTTGGAAGAACCACATCCTCAATTCTGTGATGGAAAAAGCAATTAGCAGCAGCCTGTCCCATGAAATTAATACAATTGTACTTTCCAGAAAATTAGTTGAACTATTTGAAAGTGAGTAAGCATTTTGTACCTAGAAAATGTTGGCGCATAATTTGGGAGATTCATTTGTTCATGTGATATAACATCCCAGTATGCTTAATGATGATTTCACCTCTTCCCTCTTCAGTTCCAGCAGACGTCTGATCATGCACTCTTCTCTTGCTCCGTGGTTGATGTCTTTGCTCAGCTTAATCAGAGCTTCGAGATTATTAAGAAACTGGAATGCCCTAATCCTGAGGCATTATCTCACTTAATGAGAAGATTTGCAAAGGTAGGTTGAATGGAATGAATTTTTCCCAGGGCTGTTTGAACCTGAAAAATGTGGCACTCTTATTTGACACAACTGCCCCAGTTCAATTTGTAATTGTCTACTAGCAGATTCAGTTGTTTCCACATTTGTCTTCTGAACTCAAACATTTCCTGTTTCTTCAGTGCAGATTTATCATGTTACAAAACCTGTTTATTGTTCACATGGATGACTTAGTCATTATAAATGAAGAGATTATCATAGATGGCCAAATTATTTCTGTTTCAAATATAGTACTTTCTAGCTGAAAGTAAGCCTTGGCATTTTATATATAAATGGAAAATATATTTTAGCAGATCCTGTTGCATAGTGAAAGATATAGTGAACTTGGAGTCATAAAAACTGAGTTCTGATTATAAATCAGCCAATAAGTGTCATGTGAATCTGAACAAAATTGATTTTGATGAATTTAGTTTTCTTATGTGACAGATTGATTTTGGTCAACCAAATTTCTCCTAAGGCCTTTTTTGCCTCTCAAAATGTAAGGCAGCTTACTGTGTGCTTTTAAGTTTGCCAATATTTTCAAAGAAAATG